GTAGATAGGTACTAATACGAAAAGTGGAAGAGAATTGTTAATCGGTTTGTTATGAAGACAGGGGATGGTTAATCATTTCGTAATAGGGAACTGTTTATGGCTTTGTTTTAAGAGACAGATCAGTGGCGTAGCGAGGTCAGGTGTCACCCGGTGCGGCACTTAATGGTGTCACCCCCCAGAGGCGTAGCGACCCTTCCCGGGGACAAACTTTCAAATTTTCGATTTGCACCCCCCCCCACCCCCTCAAACTTTCGATCTGCACCCCCCCCCTCTCAAGTTTTTCTCTATATATTTTGCTATTTTTTTGCCTTGGTGTCACCCCCCTAAATGGAGTCACCAGGTGCGGTCCGCACCCCCCCCCCCCTCGCTACGCATTTGAGACAGATAATACTTTATTCCTTTATTTAAGGGGCAGATATTAGTTTATCCCTTTGTGTTAATGGGCAGATAATATTTTATCCCTTTGTGATAAGGGGTAGATAATAATTTATCCAGTGATACAAGGCAGATAATAGTTTATTTCTTTGTTATAAGAGGCAGATATTAATAGATTATCTCTGTGTTATAAGGAACAAATTATAATTAAAGGATAAGTTGTTGATTTATACTAAGTTTTACACAAAAATAATAATAAAAAATACTTAATTATAATGGAGACGCCATAACTTTTTTAACAAAATTGTGTCTTTTGTTCACTCGCCCATGTTTAACGTATGTTCCCGACATATTCACGTTTCCGTTCAAGCACAAGATATTCATTTTGTCCTATCCTGACTCAGTCAATTGAGGATCGCTAGTGTGATGATATAATTTGTGTACATTTCAAATGTATTACTATGTGGGTCTCTGCAGATATTGTGCTACTTCATGATCTGCATGGCTGTCTGAAGATATTTCAAAAGTGTTGCTGTGTGTGGTTGTCTCCAGATCTTATGATGCATAATATATATTTCAAATGTATTACTGTTTAGTTATCTGTAGGTAGGACGTTATTAAGTGGTAATCTACCATATTCTACATTTCTACTAAATTCTATTCTATTTTACCCCACCTTTCCCCTTCTACCCACTTCTACTCTCTTCTACTATACCCAACCATCTCTGCTGTATCATCTTCCATACGTCCCCCACCTCCCCACTGTGATCTACTACCCTGTCCAGTACGCCTAGTGTGGGGTGGGTGAGATGGATATAGAGGGTGGGGGTTAAGTGGAGTGTGGGTCGTGGTGTATGGGGTAGTCGGAATGGGTATTGGGATTAGGGTTGTGGGATATGGAGTGGGTATTGGGATTAGGGTTGTGGGATATGGAGTGGGTATTGGGATTAGGGTTGTGGGATATGGAGTGGGTATTGGGATTAGGGTTGTGGGATATGGAGTGGGTATTGGGATTAGGGTTGTGGGATATGGAGTGGGTACTGGGATTAGGGTTGTGGGATATGGAGTGGGTACTGGGATTAGGGTTGTGGGATATGGAGTGGGTACTGGGATTAGGGTTGTGGGATATGGAGTGGGTACTGGGATTAGGGTTGTGGGATATGGAGTGGGTACTGGGATTAGGGTTGTGGGATATGGAGTGGGTACTGGGATTAGGGTTGTGGGATATGGAGTGGGTACTGGGATTAGGGTTGTGGGATATGGAGTGGGTATTGGGATTAGGGTTGTGGGATATGGAGTGGGTACTGGGATTAGGGTTGTGGGATATGGAGTGGGTATTGGGATTAGGGTTGTGGGATATGGAGTGGGTACTTGGATTAGGGTTGTGGGATATGGAGTGGGTATTGGGATTAGGGTTGTGGGATATGGAGTGGGTACTTGGATTAGGGTTGTGGGATATGGAGTGGGTATTGGGATTAGGGTTGTGGGATATGGAGTGGGTACTGGGATTAGGGTTGTGGGATATGGAGTGGGTACTGGGATTAGGGGTGTGGGATATGGAGTGGGTATTGGGATTAGGGTTGTGGGATATGGAGTGGGTACTGGGATTAGGGTTGTGGGATATTGAGTGGGTATTGGGATTAGGGTTGTGGGATATGGAGTGGGTACTGGGATTAGGGGTGTGGGATATGGAGTGGGTATTGTGCAGGAGTGTGGTTTGGTTCGGTGTGGGGTGTAGTTGTGTGTGAGGTGTGGGTATGGTGTGGATTTGGTGTTAGTGTTGGGTTTGGTGTTGGATAGGAGTGTGGGGTGTAGTTCGGGGTGTAGTTTTGTGTGAGGTGTGGGTATGGTGTGGGTATGGTGTGGGTATGGTGTGGGTATGGTGTGGGTATGGTGTTGGGTAGGAGTGTGGGGTGTGGTTCGGGGTGCGGTTTTCTGTGAGGTGTGGTATTGTGTTGGTCAGGGGTGTGGGTGTAGATTGGGGTGTAGTTTTGTGTGAGGTGTGGAGCTATGTGCTTTCCCCTTATGTCATTTAAAAAACCCATCTGTATGCAGCTGTTTATAACGATTTTGAGAACGTTTATGACACTCACAATTTGTCAGCTGATAGCATAAAAGCATGTAAGCAAACCGATAGAGACAGCTATCAGCTTTGGGTTCCATGTTCTGGTGATGTGCCGGAGGGGGAAGGGGTGGGGGGGGGGGGGGAGACTCATTGTAACCGTTTTTCAACATTCGCAGTTTTGAAAATAAAATCATCTTGTATTTAAAAAAAACGAAATAAATGGAAAAGGGGGAAAGCAGCTTTAAAATTGCTTTGAGGAACTCGTCACAAAAGACCTTGTCCACCCCCCCAACCCCCCCCCCCTCCCCACCCCCATCACCAGAGGTGTGACGTTTGTCTCGGACGATCCCTTATGATTACACATACTATCGTGCGTGCTCTATACTGTGCACTCTGTATATTTGGTGTGGGAGATGTGTTCGTATTTCTGTGATTATTGTTGTAGAGATGGGGGGTGAAAAGGTGTTTTCTCTGACTGAATAAGCAGTAATGTATTACTTACTTAATCCTCATGGATCCCTGTAGAGCAATAGCCTGCAACAAAACGTCAATTCCCCCCCCCCCCACCCCCATCGTCCTATGTGAGAGTCACTTGAGTTCGTGCCAGGTTTTGCTTGTGGTCAGCTTCTCTTCTTCCCACTCTCTCCTCCAAGGTCTACATGGTTTTTCCATCCTTCGTTTTCCAGGGGATTCTATCCAGTGTTTCTCCGGGGCGGGGGGGGGGCGACGCTGTTAAAAGTATATATATATTTCTATATAAATTCCATTTCGTTCGAAGAGATGCCTGGAAGAAACACTGATACTATCTCAGTGCCATGTTTGTGAGCCTTCTCTTCATCATTTACAAGACAAGGAGACCCCAACCATCACCACCTTCTTGCTCTTAATTCACACAGTATATCGTTAGGGTCCTTCCTTAATCGTATTTCTCTGTGTTTAACGTTCCTCCTACTCAATATTTAGAATAGTTAACACATTAAGGGTGGTTTTAGCGCTTCAAGAATGGAAGCATTTGTTATGAAAAAAAATTAAAAGTATAACAACATAAACATTATTTTGTGTGCACAATGATTTTTATTAGAGGAAAAAAAGTCTACAACAGAATGAGACAAAGTATGCTCCAAACGATTCATATACAGTTTATACACTGGATGAATACAATGATATAATTGTAATGGGATTCAGTTTCCTAACAGGCAGTGTTTCTTCCAGACTTTTTTCTCCGGGGGGCACTTGAAATTTTCGGGGGGGGGGGGGGGCGGTAGACTTTCTTCGGGGGGGCGGACACTGTTAAAAGTATATATTTTCTATATAAATTATATAAATTTCATTTCGTTCGGGGGGGGGGGGGGGGCGGTAAAAATTTTTCGGGGGGGCATGGCTGGAAGAAACTCTGCTAACAGGTGGCTTCAAATATATCTTGATTCAACATAAGAAATGTACTTGCAAGAAAAATGAGTTTATTATTTTTTTCCAGATATACTTTGAATCACAAACAGTACACAAAATATTGCTCTGAAGGTATAATTACAATTATAAGTAATTACACACACACATTACCAGTTGGTGCACGCACACACAAATTACATTAAACAACTTTCACACAAAATATCTGAGATTCTCACCGCCAGTGTTATCTGTGTCCCACAACTGGGGCTTAGACACTACACAGATACCACAGATAACTGGAGGGGAAATGTTATCTGTAAGGATTTTGGGAAATTTTAAAACTACAAGTACCCAGGCTAAATAGAATAGTTAGACTGATCAGCATTAATTTTAAAAAATATATATTTCATTAAAATTTCAAGAATTTTTCCTTCTACATATAATTAAAAATTACAGTACCAATGCTAAACTCAACTAAAATGTACAGTACTGATGCTGAGCTTTACTAAAATTTTAAGTATTGGTGCTAAGCTTTGCTAATTTTTACAATATTATTTAAACTAATAAATTTACAGTAGTGATGCTATACTTCACTAAAATTTAGTTTTAGTGCTGAGCATTACTAAAATTTACAGTATTAGAGTTAAGCATTACCATAATTTACAGTATGCTTCACTAAAAAGTATGTACTGACACCATACTAAAATTGACAGTTCAAGAAAGTGGAGATAATTCCCACTATTTTTACAGATTCTTTTTAACATAATTAATTTAGCTAAAATAAAGACACATTCATTAAGTATAGATCCATCAGAGAAAGTAATGAAACGTCATCCTAGTATGTTACATGACACAAGAAACTCACTCCAGTTTAATGACTGGTCAAGTCATGTAGTGTTAGCTGAGATTTATTATGGTTAAAATCATTGTTTCTGTTGCCGAAAATTTTACTGACCACAAACTTTTCACAAATTTTAAAAACAAACAAAAATACTACATGCTATCTATGAAGATTTGTCTAGTAAAATTAAATGTAAAAAATGAGTATTTAAAATTCAAAGTTTAGTTGTTTTTTTCTCAGGAGTTTTAATTAAAAATTATTGCCAATATGAATATATACAAAGACGGAAATTGTATAAAAGATGAAATGAAAAAAACAGCAAGCCTGGGAAATTTTATTTGGATTTTTTTTTTATTCCAATAAAAACACAAAATTTTGTCAAGCAATTGATCAGCAACCACATATTTCTTACAACAACATATTCCCATAGACATTCACTAATTTAATGTACAACCCTACAAGATTTCAAGTCCAAGATATTCACATAGACATTCACTTCTATATTGTCCAGCCCTATATGAATTTAAAGTCACAAGATATTTCTATTGACATTCACATCTGTAATGTACAGCCTTATAGTCAACAGATAATAGTGCATTCATACTGCTAACTTTCCCTATATCTTTAAGTATAAATGCAACCATTTTGAAAAAAACTTTATTAAGAAAAAGAGGCCATAAATTAATGATTCTGAATAATTAATAAATCCTAGAAATGTTTACATTTTACCAACAATTTAGCTAAAATTTTACCAGACTACAATTTAGTTTAAGAAAAACATTTTAATACTAGTTTTTAAAGTACGATACACAACAACAATCAGTCCCATCGACTTCTCTTCTTCTTTTTAGATGGGCCCTCGCTGCCTAGGCCCATGCGTGAAGCCCCCCCTGCCCCTGAGGGTTGTATCATCTGTGGTTGTAAGGAGGAGTTCAGCTGTGAGGCCCCGCCGGCTGCTGCGTAGTTTTCTTCACTGGCAGATTTGTCTTGTTCAATGGCTGACACAAAGCTGCTCTTAAACTGGGACTGTTGGGGGGAGAGAAGGAGGCTATTTTAGCACTTGAATTCAATCTTTGAATGTCTCATAATGATTTAGGAATGATTGAACAAAACAAAATTATTGTTTAATATAATAGAACTAGTGTATCTGCTAAAAGGATGATTGTGTTAACTGAAAGACAGCTGCTAGCAAAAAATGACTAAAAAATGTGCATTACATTTTATTTTGTATTTTTTAAATTAAAATCTGTGCTATTGTTCAGTAAGACCATTTATAAAAGTGCTACATACATAAAAGGCAGACTTCATCGCAGAGAGTCTGTCTGACTGCGGACCTGCATTTGCTGCTGCCCTGAAACTGCTAAGACTTATAGAATCTTGAACATGTGTACTCTGTGATGGAAAGAAAAAAATTTATTCATCATTACATCCCTTTTGTGCATAATAAAAGTAGACGCCTAAAATTTATTTGTATTGAGCTGTTCTTGTCTCCATTTCTCAAAACTATAAGGCTTTCAACAAGAAATAAACACAAAATTTCTTTTTAAGAGCTTTAGCACATTAGTTTTGCATAATAAATATAATACGACAATTATTGTACTTTTGGTTATTGTAAGTGTCATGTACAAGTTTCTAATGGAAGTAATGTGAACATTTTCACCAAAAAACAAGGGATAATTATTAGATTTGGTGATACATTGAGCCATGTTGAATGGGTAACAGATCTGTGGCAAACAGCTTGACTTTCACAAGCCAAATCCATTTACAAACTATCTGGCAATCCATTTACAAACTATCTGGCAATCCATTTACAAACTATCTGGCAATCCATTTACAAACTATCTGGCAATACATATACAAACTATCTGGCAATCCATTTACAAACTATCTGGCAATCCATTTACAAACTATCTGGCAATCCATTTACAAACTATCTGGCAATCCATTTACAAATTATCTGGCAATCCATTTACAAACTATCTGGCAATCCATTTACAAACTATCTGGCAATCCATCTACAAACTATCTGGCAATCCATTTACAAACTATCTGGCAATCCATTTACAAACTATCTGGCAATACATATACAAACTATCTGGCAATACATATACAAACTATCTGGCTATCCATTTACAAACTATCTGGCAACAAAAAAAACCTTACATTTTCAGATCCAAGTCCAGGTCTTTCTTTACAGCCCAGCCCTCTTCCAGCAACAGTCTTTCCTTTTCCACCCTTGTAGCGATTCTTTTTAAACCATGGACACTGTTGAAAACAAACAAAAAAATTATTACCAACATTACTATAGTATAGTTTAAAAATCACAAGCATAGAATTAACAACATAAAATAACCATACAAACTTAAGTTTTTTAATTAGATTGATGTTTGTATTACCTTTTGTGCTAGTTCTAACAGAGCAGGTGGCACATGCTGATTTGCACCCTCCAAATTCCTCACCAAGTGAGGAGCAAACTCCTTGTCTTTTTCTGTGATGAGTGTATACGCATGGCCCTTTGTTCCTGGTTAGAAAAATACAAACAATGTGTTCAAGAGACATTATGTGGAAAAAAAATGAAACACAAAAAAAAACCTTTACACTTGACTAATTAATTATATATGTGAATCTGCATCTGAAGTTTTTAATTAGTAAGTTATAAAAAGTACCTTTTATAACATTTTATAACTACAAAAATTTATTTATCATAACTTACTGACATTAGTAAATTTACCTCTGCCTACAACTACCAGTAAGTTTACCTCTGTCTATAACTACCAGTAACTTTACCTCTGCCTACAACTACCAGTAAGTTTACCTCTGCCTACAACTACCAGTAAGTTTACCTCTGCCTACAACTACCAGTAAGTTTACCTCTGCCTACAACTACCAGTAAGTTTACCTCTGCCTACAACTGCCAGTAAGTTTACCTCTGCCTACAACTGCAAGTAAGTTTACCTCTGTCTATAACTACCAGTAAGTTTACCTCTGCCTACAACTACCAGTAAGTTTACCTCTGCCTACAACTACCAGTAAGTTTACCTCTGCCTACAACTACCAGTAAGTTTACCTCTGCATACAACTACCAGTAAGTTTACCTATACCTACAACTACCATTAAGTTTACCTCTGCCTACAACTACCAGTAAGTTTACCTCTGCCTATAACTATAACTAGCACTAAGTGTGTCCACTTACCAGCACGCCCAGTCCTACCAATCCTGTGTGTGTGTGTATCAATGTCTCTGGCCACATCATAATTTATGACTGTCTTAATGTGGGGGATATCCAAACCTCGAGCTGAAAGTTTGATCAGTGTTAAATAGAATTTAGGTATTTTGAAAACTGAATGGCATGTAAAACATGATGGTAATACTAAAGTGAAATATTTTTTGCTTATAGAAATGTTAGTTAACACACAAAAAATATCATTCAAATAATAGGTGCTGTAAATCTTTAAGCCGTAGGAAAACAGCTCAAAATTAGAGGGGGGGGGGGGGGTGGTTCAATCAAATTGTAAGTCATATATATCTGTGAGCCCTATGTGTGAGATGAACAAAGGAACTCAGTGATAAGTGGGGGGGGGGGGGGGAGATAGGGAGGGTTCAGTCAAATTATGGGCCTTATAAATCTGTGAGCCCTATGTGTGAGATGAACAAAGGAACTCAGTGATAAGTGGGGGGAGATAGGGAGGGTTCAGCCAAATTATGGGCCTTATAAATCTGTGAGCCCTATGTGTGAGATGAACAAAGGAACTCAGTGATAAGTGGGGGGAGATAGGGAGGGTTCAGCCAAATTATGGGCCTTATAAATCTGTGAGCCCTATGTGTGAGATGAACAAAGGAACTCAGTGATAAGTGGGGGGAGATAGGGAGGGTTCAGCCAAATTATGGGCCTTATAAATCTGTGAGCCCTATGTGTGAGATGAACAAAGGAACTCAGTGATAAGTGGGGGGAGATAGGGAGGGTTCAGCCAAATTATGCGCCTTATAAATCTGTGAGCCCTATGTGTGAGATGAACAAAGGAACTCAGTGATAAGTGGGGGGAGATAGGGAGGGTTCAGCCAAATTATGGGCCTTATAAATCTGTGAGCCCTATGTGTGAGATGAACAAAGGAACTCAGTGATAAGTGGGGGGAGATAGGGAGGGTTCAGCCAAATTATGGGCCTTATAAATCTGTGAGCCCTTTGTGTGAGATGAACAAAGGAACTCAGTGATAAGTGGGGGGAGATAGGGAGGGTTCAGCCAAATTATGGGCCTTATAAATCTGTGAGCCCTATGTGTGAGATGAACAAAGGAACTCAGTGATAAGTGGGGGGAAATAAGGAGGGTTCAGCCAAATTATGGGCCTTATAAATCTGTGAGCCCTATGTGTGAGATGAACAAAGGAACTCAGTGATAAGTGGGGGGAGATAGGGAGGGTTCAGCCAAATTATGGGCCTTATAAATCTGTGAGCCCTATGTGCGAGATGAACAAAGGAACTCAGTGATAAGTGGGGGGAGATAGGGAGGGTTCAGCCAAATTATGGGCCTTATAAATCTGTGAGCCCTATGTGTGAGATGAACAAAGGAACTCAGTGATAAGTGGGGGGAAATAAGGAGGGTTCAGCCAAATTATGGGCCTTATAAATCTGTGAGCCCTATGTGTGAGATGAACAAAGGAACTCAGTGATAAGTGGGGGGAGATAGGGAGGGTTCAGCCAAATTATGGGCCTTATAAATCTGTGAGCCCTATGTGCGAGATGAACAAAGGAACTCAGTGATAAGTGGGGGGAGATAGGGAGGGTTCAGTCAAATTATGTGCCTTATAAATCTGTGAGCCCTAAGTGTGAGATGAACAAAGCAACTCAGTGATGTGTGTGTGTGTAGGGGGGGGGGGGGGGCGGGGGTATTGAGGGTTCAGTCAAATTATGCACCTTATAAACCTGTGAGCCCTAAGTGTGAGATGAACAAAACAAATCAAAGTGATGATGATATAAAACACAATCAACAAACCTGCAACATCTGTGGCCACAAGTATGGAGAAATCTTTTCTTTTAAAAGCACTGATGATCTCATTCCTTTCGGCCTGGCTGATATCACCGTGGAGTAAGCCCACTGGTAAGTCAAGAACAGGTTCAATTATAGCAAGCAATAGGCGAAAAGTAATAGTGTTTAGTTTCACTTGGCAGCAAGCAATAGGAAAAAAACAATAGTGTTTACAGTTTCAATTACAGCATGCAATAGGAAAAAGGCAATAGTGGTTACAGGTTCAATTACAGCATGCAATAGGAATGTTATGATAGTTTACAAGTGAATTTATGCATCTTTTACTTTTCTTCATTTTTTTATTGTAACATTGGAAAGATTTACTCTAATATATGGCCTAATGTGCTAATATTTTATGCACCATATAGCCTGTTGACTACGATTTACACTTGTTTTTCTTTTGGGATTTGCCTCCATAGCCTTTGTCCAACCAAGAACAAACTACAAGGCAGCAGTTGTTTGATTTATGAGTTTTCTTTCCTAGATGGGTTGCTGTCAACAGCTAATGAGCCTTGTTTGCCCAGGGGCCAGGGAAAGTAACTCTGGACTAACAGGTTAGCAATCACTTCTATGTATCTGTTTAATCTAATCAAATAAAATCACACAAGGATGCAGGGGCAATGAACCTAGAATAAAAAACTTACAACTCATAAAGACTTTCACAATGAAAACATCACAATGAAACAAATTTCACATGTACACGTTTTTTTTTTGGCACTCACTTTCAAAGTCTTTTGCTTTTAAATTTGCAGCCAATTCCTCTGAATTAGCCTTTCGTGTCACAAAAATAAGAACACTGCCCTCTGAAACAAAACAAAACGTACAAGAATAAAATACTATTCAAAAAAATTTGTGTCTTTTTTTAGTTATAGAATTTTATGTTATCCTTCAGGCCTAATGATCAATAGCACAGAAGAAGTAGAGTTCAATTTTTCTGTAATTACAGCACATGAAGAGATAGTGTAGTCAGTACTAAGACCAGACACCTTTAGTTTCCCTAAAATAAGTCTGGTTCCCATCCAAGCTTGGTGGACTAGAGTCTGAGAATCGAACTCAAAGCATTTAGGTTAGTAGACAAGAGCTCTTCTGCCCAGCCATGCTATCCCATCAGAATGTTAAGTACCACAGATAAATCGTAAGTAAATCTGAAGCAAGACACACCTGATGTGAAAGACACCAACCGCCTCATCAACCAGGTCCATTTGGCTGGACCAAGGGGGAGAACTTCAACCACTTGCGTCACATCTTCATTAGCCTGTGAAAAAAAAATTTATATCACTCAATTAGACACTGACATCACAGAAAAATTGTTTTACATATTGTTATTTGGTGTTAATTTTTAATGTGAAAATATAAACTGGCCTACCTCTCCAACTTCTCCCTGGACAACTCTAACTGGATCTGCCAGGATGTCTCTGGCTAATTTTTCTATTCGTTTTCTGAAGGTGGCACTGAATAAAAGTGCTGGAATAAATGTTCACAATGTTAAACAAACTCTGAATTTTTTTTCCCCACACATCTACTTGTACATTAATACAAACAATGTAAACAATTGTATTAAGACATATACAGTTATAAATGAAAGGAATAAAAAATACAACATACTCTGTCTGTCTGGCCTTACATGATCTGCAATAGATCTGACTTGCGGTTCTAAAAAAGTAAAATTTTACAAGTTAAACAATATCAACACAAACACTAATTTATACTTTTTATCTAATTCTTTTTTTTGGAATTCAAAATTTTATTTACTAATCTAAGTTTTTGATAACCAACAAATTAAAAGATGACACATATTAGCATATGTTTTACATTTCCAACAAGCTGATGAATAAATTATTCTTAACAAAAACTCATTTATCAGCATACTTATATGTAAAATATACACACATATATATATATATATATATATATATATATATATATATATATATATATATATATATATATATATATGTATATATATATATCTATATATGTATATATATGTATATATATATGTATATATATGTATATATATATATATATATATATATATATATATATATATATATATATATATATATATATATATATATATATATATATATATATGTAACTAGGGTAGTTACCATACTGTTGTAAGAACGTATTACAGTCTGATGCAACAGTTGCAGGACTGATAACGAACACAAAGCCGCGGCGCAGTTGACAGGCTGATGCAACTAATGGTAACGATTACATGTACGAGGGGATATATGGGAAGGCGACTGGTAGAGAGGGGCAGTATCAAGTTGGTTACTGAACGGGTTAGACGTATTGTGTTAATAGGGACGATAGACATGTGCATTCGGTTATGTGAAGACTAGTGAGGACGGTTGGGGGTCAGTTGATTAATTATATTATTGTGAAGCATTTCTTTTGATTCATGTAATAAAAGGATCAATGGTAAACCTGCATCTTCGAGTATCTATATTGTGGTCGATGTTGTGTAGAATGAGTAAATACACTCGTTAACATTTGGCACTACAAGCAAATAGACTCGCTACATTTGGCGTTGTCGAGCAGAAGATGCAACTAGACTCGGTTACATATATATATATATATATGATACACAGAGTTACAAATATATATATATTCAGCACACTTATTATATGTAAAATATTCTTACCAAAACCCATATCAAACATCCTGTCAGCCTCATCATACACTAGATACGTCACTCTCTGGAGGTTTGTGACTTTTTTCTTCACCAGATCAATCAATCTGCCCTACAGGTGGGAACATAGAACTTTCATTTTGATGCACAACAAAAGGGTTTAAACAAAGATAAGCTAATTAAAACTAGTATAGAACATACATCCATTTTTTATGATGGGTCTACCATTTACTACAATTATATCAGTTATTTAATAATCTACCTTAAACTCAATATTGCAAAATAATTTTTGAAATTCCAGAAAGGATATTTTTGTTGGTTGAAAGATATTGGCTTCCACTGTAAACATGGTAATATGCTCATAATAATAAATTACAATGCAGAAGGCACTTGTTAATATGTTATATGCCTTTTATCATAATGAACTTTGTTACTTCTGTACTTTGACAATGCAGGCACAATTACAATAACAGGGGACATAACCAACTTACTGGGGTGGCCACAATGATCTCTGCCCCTTCTTGACAAGCCTTGGACTGTTCCCACATACTCCCACCACCATATGCGCACACCACATTGATGTTGTAAACTTTGCCAAACTTTTTTGCTTCGTGATAGATCTTAGAAAATGAAAATGTTAAAATGCAATCACTATGTAATCTTGTTTGAGTTCAGCATTTTATTTTTCAATTTTAAAATAATTTTTTTTTCAATTTACTGGTTTTAAACTTTATCTTCAGTATTAAATTTTGTAAAAATGTACATTATTATTAGCAGTAATACACCGTGGACCCTTTCTTCTGTTATTGGAATGAATTGTTCACTGTGGTAAATTAAATTACAACTCAGTATCAAAATTGTAACTATATTCTATTATATTTCAAGTTACCTGTTGTGACAATTCTCTAGTTGGCGCAAGGATTAAACCTATGGGACCATCTCCTTTACTTAACTCTTTCTAAAAAAATTAAAATAAAATAAACGCAAGTTTAAAAATAATAAACCAGTTTGCAAAGATAAAGAATAATGTTGATTCATGTAGTTCTAAAAACTATGTTAGTGAAATGCCATTTGCTGGATTTGTTCAACTGAATGAAGATATGTGGAATCGATGAAAGGGAATCATGTGAAGAAGTGATAAGATGATCACATAAATGATAAAAATTACAAAAATATTACAATTCATAGGCAAACTATATTTATAATAAAGAAATCTAACGAGTTAAGTCTAGTCATGACAAACCTGATCCATGATGTGTATCAGCAACGGCCACAGGAAAGCAGCTGTTTTACCACTTCCTGTCTTTGCTATGCCAATCATATCTCTGCCACTCAGTGCCACTGGTATTCCCTGTGGTGCAATAAACATTATATCATTAAAATATTTAAAAGAATCTTTAATATCCAACTAAAACACATAACTAAGAAATCCAATTTTTTAAATTTTAAATACCACACAGAAAAAATTTATTTAAACTATTTCAGCAAATAGTTCCATTGAGGTAAAAGAATTGAAAGCATGATGTAATGTGGCTGATAAAAACCTGAGCTTGAATCGGGGTAGGCTGCGTGTATTCAGATTTCCTGATGGCTGCGATCAAGGCTTCGTCAAAGCCAAAGTGAGCAAAACTGCTGACTGGACGAGGTGGTGAAAGCCCTGAGACCTGGAGAAAAATTGTTATGGAGATTTACACTGAGACCTATGACCTATCATAGTTCAATAGTTCACATGAATTTATATTTAAATCTAGCCTTGATCATTAACAAAACAATTTTTAAAACCAATTTCCAGTCAACAAAGAAGGCTCCTACAAAAGGTTGAAGCTGTAGCAGTACCTACAAAAAGATGATAATGTACCAACAAAAGGATGATAATTTAGCAGTACCAACAAAATGATGGGGATATAGCAGTACCCACAACTGACAATGTAGCAGTACCTACAAAAGGATGATAATGTAGCAGTACCTACAAAAGGATGATAATGTGGCAGTACCTACAAAAGGATGATAATGTGGCAGTACCTACAAAAGGATGATAATATAGCAGTACCTACAAAAGGATGGGGATATAGCAGTACCTACAAAAGGATGATAATATAGCAGTACCTACAAAAGGATGGGGATATAGCAGTACCTACAAAAGGATGATAATGTGGCAGTACCTACAAAAGGATGACAATGTAGCAGTACCCAATAAAGGATGATAAAGCAGCAGTACCTTAATTCCTAGTTTCCTTCTCAGGTCATCCACTTGGCCAACGGTCAGAGCTTCAATCTCTTTGTGCGGTGTATAAAAGTTTCGTTCAAATGGCTCATAGTCAATTTCTGAGTGGTCCATTGGTGGAAGAGGATCAATTACCTACATTCAGTAAGGAGAGGATTTTCAAAAAGGTCAAAATTAACAGAAATAATTTTGCATTGGATAATATTTTTAATAGTTTTAAATTCTTACAAACTGTTCTGTTTCCTTAATTAACCAATAACAACTGAATTTTTAAAACTCAAGACCTTTTTCCTCTCCATAATTGGATTTCCATCGCTATCATAATCCACAATATCCTCATCTTCGTTGATGACACCAGCGTTAGGATTTTCCTCCATGTAACGGAAGTAAGATTCTTGTACATCTTCATTATCTATGTCATCACGAGTTCCCCTGTAACAGTAACCAAAATTATTGAAGTTATTTTTTTCATCCTCTTCAAGAAATATATACCAATTTTTAGAAAAAAAGATATTGAATTTCCCCCCCCCCCCCCCCCCCCCCCAAAAAAAAAACAACAAAAAAACAAGAATATAAGAAAAAACTCTGCATTTTGTTAACAAATTTATCAACACCAGAATACAAATAGGTATACTAAACAATAAACTTTAAACAGTGAATATTTAAACTGCAAATCCAACTGGTAAAGTCAATTTATTTTCTAATAAATGAAAAAGATAACTTTACTGACTGAATTAGCAAAGTTTTCAAACAAATTTACACAAGAATAGACTTGACTATTACAATCACTTACTTTTCTTTTAACTTCTCTTCAACTGTTGAGATGCGTTCCTTGGTCTCTTCTACTATCTCTTTCTAAAACAAGTATTAATTATTAAATTTGTAATAACTATTACAATCACAAAATGCTTTTTTAAATTTAAGATTTAGACTTCTGTATTGATTGAAATGAGGAATTTGTAAAACTGCGAGGAATACAACTACTTTTTGTATTTTGTTTTGATTACAGTATTACACTCACTAAGATCTACATAATTTTGTACCTTTTTAATTCTATTTTTCAAAATTAAAATATATAAAAATAACTTTATCATTAAACAGTTTCACCATCCTAATAAATCTCTACTGTCATAAAAACCCAAAAGATGCCTTTCACATAACAAATTATCCTGGCTCACAATTTATTCAATTCGCCATACTGAAAGGAACACATTTCCTATGTAATCTTGATTCAATGTACCCATAGAAAACTAAAACAAAAATTTCAAGGTTTGCTCTTAAGCTAACTACTCAACTCTTTTCCAAAAAATATTCTACAAAAAATACTAGTCATCATAATAAAGAATATAAACAAAATGATAGTACTATTAAACAGCGATGCATTTTTTAAACTACAAAAAAAAAAAGAAATAACAACATGTATCTAACGGAATTACTTCAATGCCTGCCATGAATGCATCAAGTGGATCATCACTATCATTACTTGCTGCTCCAGGACTGTCGGAACCTTTCTGATAAGTATCTTTCTCTCCAGGTGTTTCTTCCTCTTCATCATCATTAAAATACCTAAATCAAAATTGTTTTTGTTAGTATACTCATTTTACCTACTTGTTTTCAATAAAAGTAATGACAATATCGACTGTACAGAAGATAAAGGCAGTATGTCAATTTTGTTGTGAAATCCGTGTACACCAAGAGTCTCCAAACTTTTCGTTCCGAGGGCCGCATTAACTATCAATTTTCAGTACGGGGGCCAGTTAGTTCCAGGCATGTCTTTGATTTTTCTGGGCAAAGTTCCTCAGCCATCAACAACAAATGTTTTTTCCGTGGACAAAAAGATCTCCGCGGGTCGGATGAGAGGATCTTGCGGGCCGCATCCGGCCAGCGGGCCGTAGTTTGGAGACCACTGGTGTACACTAATACTTATGTTGACAAAAATAGAAGCTACCAGAGCATTTACGTTAAATGTCACAAAACTATAATGCAAATATTTTTTAACATAAGATTTTGCACCATTTTAATATGAGAATGAGATTTCTCAACTTGTTTTTCTCAAGATAATGTTTTTGGACATACTGCATTTGTCCTCTCTACAATCAATATAAGATTTGTAAAATAAATAATGTTACATTACATAATGAAAATCACGCAATAAAAAATATGTATATAATGGAGTTGGTACTCACTCCTCTTCAGTCATAGCTCGCCTCTTTCCCACATTAGCAGTATGGTAGTTTAACGTCCTCCCTGGAACAAAAGTCTTGCTGTTACTTGCCCCTTGCATGGCAGCATATCCTGAAACGGGGGCAAACTGACCCTGACCTCTCCCAAATCCAGGGTAAGACATGGTTTAGCATGCGCTTTTCTTGAAATCAAATTCAAAGGCTGGAATACAATTATTTGTAGAAAGTGTTACTGTTATTTAAAAGTGTAAACATAATATTAAATATTATTAGGCTGAGGATGTGTTGTACATCTTTTAAGATATTGTTAGCAGTAAGTCAATTTTAGTATGACCAGTTAAAAGACACATAAATTCCAACCTTAAGTGGCAAAAAGAGGTGTTGTGTATGGATCATATTTGAATTTCACAAAGGTGGACGGACAAGCAAAAAGATAAAGAAAACAGGTATATTTTAAGGTCATTAATCCAGAGTATGTATTTTTTTTAATCACATGCTACATCCAAATCAAATATTTTGATTTTAATATTATCAAGTAAATTGTAAACCATGCCCTATTGCTAAGTAAAAAAAAGGTAATCTATCATTTTAGGTTTGTAAAATTGTCTGAGACTAGTAATGTGAAAAAAACGTGACTCATTTAATTTTAGTAAATATTTCACATTTATAGGAGGTTTTATGTTTTGAAAGTTATAAAAATGTATCAAAGTTTCACTCATGTAACTGTTTTAAAACAATTGTATTAAAACATTTCAGTAATAAATAAAGACCAGCGATGTTTACATCAGATGCAACCATGCTCATTTACTTAAGCAGCCATGTTGTTTAAGTTTTTTTTTGTAAAATTATATTCATTGTAGGAGATTCAGGGGAAACCACTCTTATTTACAGATGTCCACTGTTTATACAGCAAATCTTGCTTGCAAACACTGCTGTTTAAAGTTAATTTCTGGCCTATATTAAATTTAGCCATTGATTTGGGTTTATTATTTAGTTATCTATAATATTTGACACAATGTATTACAATGTACTTCTATTAAAGCAACTTTTCTTCACATTACTAGATCTAGCCTCGACCGATTTTACACACCAAAAATGTCCTAACCTAAATAAAACAACCTGATGGATTACCAAAAATTCCAAATATTAGGGCCTAAATAAAAATAATAGGCCTAGGCCTAATATCTTTTTTATTAAAAACTATTCCATGTTTTTGATTTTATAGCTATTGTAGCTAGTAGTTACTAGCTAGGGTAAATTTTGTTTGCCAGTAAAACTATAAAAACAAAAACTTGTAAATGTAGTGTAGTACTATTACAATAATATTATGGATAACTTTATTTTTAACAATAACATTAACAACAGTCTCAGGGCTCTCAGGCTCTTGCATCGCTGCTCAGAGCTCTGCTGTGCTCAGTGGTGTGCAAGCACCAAATCAGCTAGTTTCTTTAAAATTCATTTTTTGTTGCAACATAAATTATTTCTATTATCAGGGAATTTTAAAATATCATGCAATTACCTGTGATTTATATACAATAACGTTATTTTAAAAGTTTATTTATGTAAATTTTTGTGGGTATTTAATTGTTCGTTGTTTACTTCCCAATTGTTTTGGAAGAAAATGTTAATTACTTCCCCTGATTTTACGGTGCATAATGTTTATAAGCTAGACCAATAGTCCTATTCTGATAATTCTATCATGTATTATTTTTCTTTTAAAGTATTTTACACAATACAGAAAAGGAGAATAAAAAGGACAATAATGTTAATTATTGTTACTTAAAATAAAATTTCACAGTTTATTTTTTTTATTTGTAGTTACAAATGCTTTGTCATTTTATATACAACTCAGTTAATTTTATAGTACAACTATTTATTGGTATCACCGTATGTATTTACTGGGAGCATTCAATGTATTTTTTGACGTCCCATGATAAACTAAGAAGAACATAAAGACCTGTACTGAACTTTGAGCTTTTATTTTTAAAAGATGCTTTTACCGTCTATACATAATACAAACAACTGGTTTCATAATACAAGTACAAGATCTCCATCTGCAGACGTAAAGCTGTTTCTTAAATCCCCCTTTTCAGTCTTTTGCTTTTCTTTTGCCCACTTGAAAATCGAATGAGATGAGCTTGTCTTTACTCAACTTTACTGTTTTGTGAATGACTTGAGTACTCTTGAGTTGAGTGAAGTTTTAAGTTTATTTAGTTAGTCTGATAGTCATTAATGATTTTGAACTAAAAAACTAATTAAAACAACTTTAACTGAACTCAGTAAAATTGAGATTATATAAAATACATGGAATACTGAATACAGTATTACAGGCCTAGATTCTGGAATTGAAATATTTAATATAAATTTAAAAGTAATTTTTAGTCTATAGCTATAGACTATTACTATAGACACTAATAAGTTAAAGTAATAAATTCAATAATAGTACTTTAGTAGGGGCCTAATAAATTAAATAATAAATTAGGCCCATTTGTCTACTGGTTTGACAAAAAAGAAATTGAATACGCCATAGATGACGTCACGCTTTTTTGACGATTTTTACCTCTCCCCTCCGTCACACGTCATCACAAAAAGCCAGACATCCCCCCCCCCCCCCCCCCCCTAAAATGACATCACACCTCAGCCTACAACCCTCCTCAAAATTGCAGTTGAATTTTTTTTAAACAGCTATATTTTTCCAAAATCTTGTCTGAACTCTGTCAAAATACAGTATTTTAATCAATTGTTATTACAATTTATTAAAGCAGTTTTCTAAAACGCAAAGTAACGTCTAAAATTCGTTTTCTAACATTGCTTTTTTATAATGCAAAAGTGTGACATCGCACCATCTGAACCCCCTCCCCCTAATCACACACCGTCACAAAATTACGGACCCCCCTCCCCCTTACGAGTGTGACGTCATTTATGGACGACCCCATAGGCCTAACCTAGCTAGTAAGTTGTAGATCTAGCTACAGGCTACTTGTAACTTTTCGTCTTATATAAGTTATAGTTAGGGCCCTAGGCAGAATGAATTTAATTATAATAATTAGGGGCCTATTTATTAGTAATTAGGCCCTACGCTATTTTAATTTAGCAGATTTGGTCTCCTTGAATTTATTAACTTGATTTAAAATAATAAATGTTAATTAGCCTAAATAGGGCCTAGGCCTAATTATTTCTTAATTACTAATTAGGCCCTAAGCCCATTTTTTTTACTATTTTAGTTTGGCATTTGGTCTCCTTGAATTTATTAACTTGATTTTAAAAAAAATTAATGAAATAGGGCCTAATTATTAAGCTCTTAAGTATGCCTTTGATTAGTAATAATTAGCAATTTTATTAGGCCTACTACTAAACTTATTGTTTTTGATATGTTGTACTTCATTATTAGTGTTATCGCTTAGAATAATTGAGCCTATATTGAATTCTATGAAATTTAGGGCATGTCTAAAACAGTGTTAAAGTATTTTGATTTCTTAGTAAAACTATCTGTAATTGGGGGCATATAAGAACTAGTTATTTTTTCAATTAACAGTAGGGCCATCTGTAGAGTTTGAACCCATATTGATTTAATTAATAAGAGCCGACCCGCGGCATATAATACGCCGATATTTAGTTGTTTTATTTTCTACTTTTCAGTAATTCATAATTTGTGAATTCGACAGTACCAATGCTGCCACTGAAAATATTTGCTTTAAAACACTATCAGTAGGTCGTTAAGGACGATACTACTACTACCCCCACCCTCCTTTCCCCCAACCCCTACCCTACACAACCCCCCCCCCCCCCCCCCCGTGAAAGCAGCCTCCTCTTACTCTTAGTTACTTCCCCTAAGTTTAAAATCGTTTCAAACTACATTATCTGCCCCTAATAGCCGTCACTAAAGCCTTGTATTAGACCTGAGATGGCTGGAGAGGGGTGATTTCAAATCTCGTCCGAGCTAGAGAGAGAGGGATGGTTATATACTGTCCAAGGTAGAATTGTTTTTTTTTAAGGTTGTATGGTGTGGTAGGGCAGGTAACTATGTCCAACCAAGTTTCTCTTCTGTTATATTAATCTTCACTGCACAGTCTCACTGGTATTAATTACACTACAGAAATTCCAGAACAGGCCTTGAGTGAAGTAGCTTATAAATTAAGGTGTGCCTGATGCCCTAATTATAAACATAAGTGTCATTTTTGTGTGTGCTAACCACACTATCCCCTCTATATCCTGAGGTCAAGTAACATGTACTTATTAGATCTGGAAGGTGAATTGCAGTTAAGTCCACCCAGCTCTGATGGGTACCTAACTTAAAGTAAAAGTAGCTGGGCATAGTGCTGTCCACACTATCCCTTTATATCCTGAGGTAAAGAAGCATATGAAATCTGAAAAGGGTACTACTTTATAGCAAAGCATACTGTATTGTAAATCTGGATACTCTTTTGTAGGACATGGCATATTGTCCCCCCCCCCCCCTTCCCCCCTATTAAGGTAGATTTTCAAATTGCCAAACATTCCTTTAATTTTTGTAACAACTTGTCTTTTTTATACAGGCCTCCACATAGACAAAAACAACAAAAATGAATTCAGATTTTGTTGATAACTTGGTTAAGTTTAATTCCCTTTCAAATGGTAGAGATAAGTTGTTCAGGTATAGTACAATTTTCTCTATGCCCAAAATTTATGATCATTTTTTATTCTCATTAGCTGTAGTCTATTATTTTTCTATAATGAGAAATTTGGCTAATGTTGAAATTTGATTTGTAACTAGCTCGATGATGGGGTTTGGTGTCTAGAAGAATATTAAAGGATTGTAATCATAATCATTAATGTATCATGCACTAATCTGTAAGTGTAATTCTCATTATAGACTTGTGCAGTATGGAAGCAAGTTTGCTTGGTGGTACTTGCAGAAATATGATGTTAGTCCAGAGGTCGTTGACCGCTTACAAAAACTGGGAAATGCATTGAGTACAACTAGAAAGTGTAGGTTACACATATTTCATTTTGTTTGGAAGTGTCATTTTTAACTATCTGAAGACTATGAATGTGATGATTGTTGCTAGCTGCTGAATGGTAGCACAATCGACAGCTAGCCTGAAAATCTCAGGTTCAGATCTCTGTACTGACTCAGGACTACATGGCGTTTTTGAGTCCACCCAGCTCTGATGGGTACCTGACTCAAGTAGGTGAAAGTAAAAGCAGCTGGGCACATTGCTGAACACACCGTCCATTGTGTCCCGAGGTCAAGAAACATGAACTTGTTAGGCCTGAAAAGGGGAACTAGTTACTTAATTATAGAAAAAATAAATTAAGACTTTGGCTGCAGTTTGACAAATAAGTATTTCATTAATTCAGTTTGAATGAGAAAATGAGCAGCTGTAAACAAATTCATCTTGAAATTTTTTACTACTTTTAGTATGCAATTTGAAACCTTACTGAAAAGATATTATTTATTAGCAGTTACAAGTAAGCATTTAAGTGTTATGTACTGGTTACTGGTAGTTATAAATTGTCATTTTTACAATTATCTTATGATAATTTTCTTCATTTCTTTAACAGTTATGCAACTTGGAAGAAGTGTTGACTTCGTTCATGGTGCATTACGCAGTCTTCATTTAACAGATCCAATTCTTCGCTGGTCAATCACAATGTCCAAGCTAAACCAGGCTGTAGCTCTTCTGTTTGACCACATCATTTGGGCAGGTAGAATAGGCTTAGCAACAATTGACAAGGACAAATGGAGCAACCTTTCTGCACGCTTTTGGATTGTAACTCTAATTTTGAACCTTACCCGAGATATCTACGATATTATCACAGTAATTTCACGTGAAGTTAAAATTCGAACGGCCAAATCTTCCAGAAGCCATTACAAAAATGGAATATCAGATCACAAAACTATTAGCAAACCTAAACTGACAAATACACAACTTTTTGTGAAATGTGTCACTGAAAACCAGTCTGTCTTTTTAGACCTATTGAAAAATCTATGTGATTTGGTTCTACCCCTTGAATCACTGGGGTATGTCAAAGTTTCACCAGGTGTGCAAGGGTTAACAGGTTCTGTTTCTTCTTTAGTTGGAATTGCATCAACTTGGAACCCATTGCTCAAGCTTGTGCCGTCATAATTTGGAATGCCCAGAGTTTATTTATATTTATAGCTCATTGTGACTTGAGTGGATTACTAATTTCTCTGAGAGACATATGTTTATACACAGCTTAAACATACTATTTAAATATGCAAAAGTGTACTCATTTTATTTTACTGTATGTATTTGTTCGTTTCATTTAAATTTTCTTGTATTAAAATAAAAATGTATTGACCTATTCTGATGTTTGATACTATTAGATCATTTTGCATTCTAATACTATGTACTCCCACAGAAGAATAATTGTGTGTAAATTTATGATTGGAAAGTATTTATAAATTATAATTATGAATTATCATATTGAATAATGTTTTTTTTTTTTACATTTTGATTAAATTGAAGCTGTTTAAATATTCTCTTTGTTGATGCAAAGCTTTTATTTTAATATTTAAAAAGAACTTATTAAAACCCCCTTAATCTGAAGCTGCTTAACAAAAGATTGACTGACACAGCAATGGTGGAATAACATTTTCTGGTGTAAATTTTTTTTTATTTTTTTTGCATACATGTGATACACAACAGTAAAAAAAAAAAAAACATAAGGACTCGCATTAATACATTTTAGTAGAATAACATGAATGCATTTCACTTCAGGTCACAATCACAATAAGTTTTTTGTGTCTAGTTTGAAACATTTTTAATCTCACTGAACTTTATCACCTGAGAACTGCATTTGTTTTAGTCTTTTAAGCCTCTTTTGTATCCTTAAATTTCGGATAAAGGATATTCTAGACAACCGAGTCCAATACTCTTGTGTGTTGGGGTCAAGCTGTGATAAATCTACTGCTTTCCTTTCCAGGCGTAGATTCCACAACCAGTCTGGGTATTCTGAATCTGGCTTGATTTCAGGATCTTTTCCATCAACATTAATGTTGGCACCACAGCAAAAATTGATTAATTTTTCTGGATCAGTTTCAACCTCCATCCTGACTTTTTTAGCAGTTGCTGCAGCACCAACTTTGCTAACTGAAAAATAAAATGTAACCATTAGTGATACATCTCAAAAAGTATCTGGCACCTTTTTTAAAATGAGTTTTAAATGAGTAGGCTGAATTAGATTAAAACATTTTTTTTTTTTTTTACTATAAACATTCAATTATAAAATTCCTTATAAATGACAAATGACAGAAATCGCTTTTAAAACTAGTACATATATACTATTAAATGTTTTGTAATAAATCCAAGAATGTATGATATAATACAGAGCTTCAAATATTCTAAAAAAATCTGTTTGAATATTTTATCAAGGAAGTATTTTGCAATCTAAATCATTACATACAATTTATAGTTCTCCCCCTTTTTTTGTTGAGAATACTGTTTTTGAAACTAGCAAGTAAAGCCAATAAATATACTTTTGGACAAGCTTGAAATTTTTGTAGTAAAGTCTTCACCATAAATTCCGAATGTGTTCAACCAATTTTAAATTAACACGTTTTTCTTAACTCAGCTTCGCGTTTGTTTGTTTGTTTGTTGTTAAAATTGACATCGAAAATTAGCCCACTTCTGATTGCTCTAGAGACCTGAAATTTGGCATGCATGCTACTTTCGCCTAACAATTTCAGATGCAAACATAAAAACTACATACAGATAACTAAACAGTAATACATTTGAAATATATATTATGCATCATAAGATCTGGAGACAACCACACACAGCAACACGTTTGAAATATGTTCAGATAGCCATACAGTAGCACAATATCTGCAGAGAACTACATAGTAATACATTTGAAATGTACACAAATTATATCATCACACGATCCTCAATTGACTGAGTCACGATAGGACAAAAAGCGAATTTTTTTTTTGTTTAACTTTCGTTTTTTTCCATTTTTAACACGTTTTTATTAACTCAGCTTCGCGTTTGTGTGTTTGTTGTTAAAATTGACATCGAAAATTAGCCCACTTCTGATTGCTCTATAGATCTGAAATTTGGCATGCAGGTTACTTTCGCCTAACAATTTCAGATGCAATCATAAAAACTAGCAATTAGAGACCGTAATTAGCTTAATTTAATTACGCCCCAAGGACCATAAAATTGAGGACATGATTTCTAAAGATACCGACAAGACTTGAGGCCTATTGACACAGTTACTTCGGCCCCAATCGATGTGAGCGCGCTGGCCGTGATCGTATAGTGGTTAGTACTTCGCGTTGTGGCCGCGACAACCCAGGTTCGAATCCTGGTCGCTCAAGATTTTTAGTCCGTGTATTTATAAACACTTTTTTAAAAACCACGTTTTTCATGTGTAGCAACGGACTAAAAGGAGAAAATAAAATACTTAAAAAAAACTTTTTAAAAAACCACGTTTTTTATGTGTAGCAACGGACTAAAAAAGGAGAACGGACACGGTAACACATTGTTAACGGTGACACGGTTGGTACGCTGGGCATGCTAAAATACACATAAACACGTTTTTCCTTAACTCAGCTTCGCGTTTATTTGTTTGTTTATGGGAGATTTGATCACGTGATTCGTGAGTAGATCTCCACGCCAGCAACGTAAATTACACCCTTTCTCTGTTTAAAGCGTATCGGTCGCTCAAGATTTTTTTAGTCCGTGTATTTAAAAACACTTAGTCAAGTCATACTTAATCAAGTGATTAGATAAAGTAGAAAATAAACTATATAAAAAACTTTTTAAAAACCACGTTTTTCATGTGTAGCAACGGACTAAAAAGGAGAAAATAAAATACTTAAAAAAAAACTTTTTAAAAAACCACGTTTTTCTTGTGGACTAAAAAGTAGAAAATAACTATTTACATACATTTGATGACAAAAAACGTGGGTCGGGCAGATGGGTCGGGAAATTTGATGGTGAACGTACCCACGTTTTTTGTCATCAAATGTATGTAAATAGTTATTTTCTACTTTTTAGTCCACAAGAAAAACGTGGTTTTTTAAAAAGTTTTTTTTTAAGTATTTTATTTTGCCTAGACATATTTTGTCAACCATGTTTAACCTTTCTTAGTTTCTATTCTCCTCTGCCCAGCTTACTTTGCTTGGTGGTGGAAAAGAACCAGTTCCCTTTGACTCAAATATTATAAGTTGAATTACAGTAACATTTAACTTTCAGTAGGCCTATATGAATATAAATTTAGTAAGTCAAGGGTCAAGGTAGTAAGTTTTGAGCCTTAATAAGTGGACATATTCTGGCAAATGTTAACTTTCAGGACATTCAACTTGCTATTTAAAGATTCAATATGCCTGATAAAATCAAATTTGTTATTAGCTTTACATTACTAATTATAAATAGTATCTTAAAAATGAGGTTAATGGACTAGGAGATGTATGTGCTGTGCTCGCCATGTGGCAGGTGATGCTTCTCTCACTGACAAAGCAGTGAGTGCACCATCTGTCAAGTGCCATGTGCTGCCAGTGACAATGCTCGAATTTCTCACTTTTGGGTGAACAAATCAAATAGATACAAATCTTAATGAAATATTTTGAACTCTGTTTACAAAGAACTTTGTGAATATCATGCCAGTCCCAAGCTCTTAATGAGTTGGGAGGAGGGTTGGATTCATTTTGAAATGACAAATCAAGCTCATAGGCCAATATGTTATTTATTTTTTGGTTCATTCATTACTGTTTGGCCAAGATGATTTATACTAAATAAAGCCTACATAACAAATTTGCAACTATCCTTTCGATAAGCATAATGTTTTTGTTGCACTGCACTTGCAGCATCACACAGTCCTAGTTTTACACTTCACACATTTTTATTTGAGCTTCCAAATGAAATAAAATTAGGCTAAATGATTTTTTGCTAAATCTAAAAGTTACTGAATTTTCAATTTAAACATAACCACTGAATAATACACATCAATATTTAAAACATTAGGCACTAATTTTGAGGTTTTTAGTTCATTTTAAAACTAAATTGCTTAATTTAATATTTATTGTCACTCACAGATACGGCACGACACACCCTTCCATAACAACCATGTTATATCACTCGTACGTTTGAGCAAGCAACGAATCGGTTCGACTTTTTAATTGGCTATACACCAAAGTTCCTCATTAGTGATCAACAAATAGGGGTCATGTGGTTTTTAGAAAATATTTTAAAAATTGGTTGTGATATAGTCAGATATAGCACCAGTGTTTTTGAAAAAAACAGCTCATAATATTTGATTTCTTTTTTCATGGACTGATAAAACTAATAATGCTCTGCTGACTCGCTCATTTTCTTATACCTACACCGTTGGTATTTTAAAAGTTCAATTAATTTTAATGAAACCAGCTATTGAATTTAGCCTCCCTTCTCCAAAACAAATTTTAAAATGCTTTTCTGGCATATATAATATATATCCCTGCCACCTATGGTATATTTTTATAACGTGAAAATCTTGCCAATTTGCTCATTTTAAACAGTAATTCTAAGAAGTTCACTGGAACTAAGACGAAAAATCATCAAGTTAATAGCGAGACTCACTAACTTAAAAGCGTCCTTGGTTGCTAACCAGAACATGGCTACCACACCTTGGCCTACGATTGGGCAATTTTTTCTGCTTTGTTCGAGAGACCACCTTAACATTAACTTTAAAAATAATTATCAAGCGAAAAATGGCGTTTTTTTCGCGTATTTTAAGCAATCTAATGATGACAAAGCTATTTTTGGCAGATTTTTTTTTTTTTTTTTTTGCTTCCGACATTGAAAGGTCAAACGTAAACATGGGTACAGTTTGAGTAGCTCAAAAACTTTAAATAATGGTCTCTAAGGTGTCAAAACTGCATGCCTAGGTCGAGTATTATTAGATTGATCGTTTAGTGAAAAAAAATTGTAAATATTATGTTCGCCGTTTAAGAAATCGGCATCGCAAAAAGGTCACTGAAAGCACGTTATTTTTTATTGTGACGTCATCGCTATTGTTACGGAAGCTGTACAGTAGTATCCTCTCGCTGCTTATATAATTGTGTTTTCTTTTCACTTGACACTCCTTTTCAGCTTATTTTGCTAGCGTAATTAGACTAATTAAGCCTAATTATGGATATTTCACCTGACTTTTGGATTATACTATGACTCTAAAAACCCTTAAACCACAACGATCTGTTATTTTTTTTTTTTTTGTTGATCCCTGGAATTAGATCTAGATCTAGTAGTGAGCGTTGGTCTTTGTGTGCTTACTTAGGCTAATGACTTAGGCCTAATTATTTGTTTTCAAATTTGTTATAGCTTAATTAATTTGTCTTAATTCTTATTGATTTCATAAATTTTAATTAGGCTAATTATAATATTATTTTCACTGGTCTTCGTTGCCTCATTATTTGTTTTCAAATTTGTTATAGCTTAATTAATTTGTCTTAATTCTTATTGATTTCATAAATTTTAATTAGGCTAATTATAATATTTTCACTGGTCTTCGTTGATACATTTATTAGGCTTAATAATGTTAATATTATTACGATTTTATAGGCCTGATAGATAAATTAAATGATTTTAGCGTTGGGTCTAAGTTTACATTACTAATTAGTACTAAGTAAACCAAGTACGCATGGACTAGGACATGTGTGCTGTGCCCGCGCTGTGGCGGGCGATGCCTCTCTCGCTGACAAACCAGCGCGAGCGAGCGAGTCGTTTGACACACGAGGTCTGTGTCGATGTTTGGAATGCATAGGCATAGGCCTAATTCTCGCTCTCGGGTGATTAATTTTTATGCGCTGACATTTGAAAAATCAAATAGACACACATCTTAATTAAATACATTTAATTTGAACTTTATATTAATCTAGACCTATAATACTAATTAGGGCCTATAACTTGGGATAACAAAGTACTTGGACTAGATTTAGCGCATGCGCACACTGTGCTATGAGTTTTCTCTCGCTGGTTGACAAAAGAACGCAGGCGGGCTAGCGATGTTTGTAATTTGCATATATCTTTGCTCACAGGCGATCATTTTAATGAGATTGGCCTCTTTTTATTTTATAGGCCTAATTAATTGTATTTGATAGGCTAACTTTTCTGGTTGACAAAACTAAGCGAGCGAGATGTCTGTCACGCGCACTGCCCGTGACGCTGTTTAGAATGTATTTCTCGCTAACTTGATGAATTTGAATACTATTGCAGTGTTTTTTAAAATAAATCAAATACTTACAAAGCTTTACAATTTAAACTGAGCATAGACAAAACTTTGTAAATAACACACCTGTCCCAAGTCAAGTGAGAGAAGAGGGTTAGATTAATTTTACAATGACATCGCTATATTTTATGAATTGCCCTAATTAAGCAATGCTAAAACACACTAGTTAATAAAACATGCATGGGATTGAATATCTTTAAAAAGATTAGATCTATAGGCCTACTATATATTCTTGAACATGTTTTTCATTAATTTGAATTTAGTTTTCCTTTTTAAACACCTTTCCATTTAAAAAAAAAAATTAAATAAAAATATTTAAAAATTCTAGATCTAGATCTAATTCCATTACGTGATTTTTTATTCTGACGAAGACAGTGTACATACGAATAGAAATGCGGTAATAAAATCAAATGTACTGTGCATATTCTGCTAAAATCAAATCATCTGCAAGGTCAACCCTGCAGAGTTCGTCTCTTCAGAAAAGCTATGGCGATCTGGTTGTCACGGATTATTTTGCTTGCAATGCTTGGAGTGGCCAATTAATAAAAATCAGTAATTAAGCTCCAAATGAGTTTATTTTCAACAAATTAAGTATTTGATTAATTAGAGATTGATCTCTAGTTTCCATTGGTAATGTTAAAATCGAAAAATAACGAAATTTAAAATTAGTGAGTATCTCTACAAGTTAAGCATCCCCGGTGACGGTGTGAACGCCATTTGTTGTTAGCAACCGGCCAAGCCTCCATGGTAGCGTGCAATGCTACTAAAAATTTATAGGCCTATTTTGTTTAGCCCCAAATGAGTTAGTAACATCAAATTTAATTTTTTTAAAATTTAGTGTTGTGCTGGTTAGAGATAAAAATTAAAAAACATTTGAGTTAGTTTGTTCATCAACAACAATGTCCCATATACCTGCACATAGAATATAGATCTATTTAGCCTAAATATAAGCAGAAAAGCTTGGTTATTAATATTTTACCTATTTTCTTTGCATATGATCTAGTAAATGTAAATACATGGTTTTGAATATTCGCTAGCGGTAATGAAAGTAGGTAACATCTTCTCAAGGCCGCAGCCATTTTGAAACATGCCCTGCTAAAAAGTTGGATTTTAAAAGTTGGCTAATAATAGATCTACATTTTAAAAAAATATATCAATAAATGAAAACATTACTTTAATTTTTCTATTTTTCATGTTTTTTAACAATTAAATGAAAATGAGTGTAAACAAAATGTATGTGTTTGTTATTTCCCTCTCAGATCTAGTTTTAAATTATTATCTTTTTTAAAATATAAGACTCATAAAATTTATCGAAACAAATTATTTTCAAATTTCATTGCTAAAAAAAAATGCTAAAAATATCTCTACACTAGTTGTGTTATGAGAGCTGTCTAATGTATCCATTTCTAGATCTACGTCGTTAATAAGATTAATACCATATTTTAGAGGGGGAATCTATGTATTTGCATCGTTATGGGTAATTTTCATTCTGTTCTCAGGCTTATTGTGTCAATTATTTTTTTAGAGACGTAGACTAGAGTAGAGATCTGTTGTACGCGACAACGCCAGGAGTCGCCCAGGAGGATCAGCAGCCATCCATTATGGACCATTAAATCCATTCCTTCATTGCAACTTTCAAGTGTCTCGTCATGTTTCTAGACTAGAATCTAGATTACATTATAAAAATATAGACAAGATCTAATCTAGATCTAGGCTAATTCAAATGTTTTTTTAATGTAAACTGGCATCTGTTGTAGATCTAGCTCTTTAAACAAAATTGTTAGGCCTAAATAAGTAAATATACTAAATACTAAATAGGCTACTAAAAAAAATATTCCTAAATAAATATATAAAAAAAATAGGACCAGAGTCTAGATCTAGCTCTAGACTCTAGACAGACTTACTTACATTAGCGGAGCGCTTATTTAATATTTAGGTAGGCCCTAGTGACTAGCCTAGTCCTGGGCCTTTTAAATTATTTATTACATTAATGATTATTAATTATTAGGCTTATTTTATTACTATAGTGAACTTAAAACTATAGGCTAGTTGTTTATATTATTGAAGTAGGGCATAGGCTTAGTTATATTACTACAATAATATATAAGCAACTATAGCGTCTATAGGGCCTAGATCTACTTAAAAAATATTAATGAATGGAGAGTGTTGTAGGCCGAGACTATTTGAAATCAAATTATTAGCGTAATAAGAATTATTGGTTTAAGTCACCTTATTATATTAAAATGAATAATTACAAAAAATACTTCAGTTGTAAAGTAGGCCTGCCCCTTCAAGCTAACAGTCTATGGGGCAGGTGAAGTAGGTTATCATCCCCAAGGGATATATGGAAATCAGGAAAGATAAATGGAGACCTAAAGAAACAGGTCGATGAAGAAAATGTTGAAGGAGGTTGGCTTATCATTCATAGCTAGAGACAGGAAAAAAGGCACTCATTTGTTGATGCCATGTGGGTGTTGACAGATGATGATGATTAGTAACATTAACTAGAACTAGGCCTAATACTAGTTAAAAACTTTGTATTATTTATATGCTGGTATTACTTCTGACTCAAGTAACCCAAACGCATAAGAACATAGATGATTGATGCAACACTATAATAGGCTTTATTCCCTATCATCATTTTATTAAGTTTTTTTAAGCCTAAAAGTGAAAGGAAATACCATTAGGTTTTCTTTAATAGTAAAGTTTATTTTCACTACTCATCTCTTATCACATCTAGTTCTGTGTTAATGTTTATATTTTCTTATATTTGTGTCTGTTTTGCACTGTTGCAGATGGTGGCCCTTTAGATGACATTCCTGAAGAAAGTCCAGTTCGTGGAAGAAGTTTTTCACTTTCCCCAAAACACCAGACACTCGCCAATAATGTAACAGAAGTAACAGCAGTAAAAAATATGCCCTTACCCTGCACCTCAAGCTCTATAATTTCTCCTAGTAGAGAAGCAGAAGTATCAATGGATGAGTCCAATTCTTCACCATCCTTAAAGATGCAACCAAACAGGCTCCACCTTCAGCTTGACTTCTCTCAAGGCAGCTCATCAAGAAAATCTTCCAAAGTACTCAGTGCTTTATTTACCCACATATCTGACCCCTATTCGTGTGGAGAGGAAATCGAACCTGCTCAAATGTTTACAACAAGTCCTACCTCTCCATCTTTTAAATTGAAAGAAATGATGGATGATATTGATGTATCGCAAGATGATGAGAGTAAAGAAGAGGTAACTGTTTTGGTTGACTAAGTTAATACAACATAGATTTAAAAATAAAACATTTACCCTAGTTAAAGTAAACTTTAAAAATATTTTTTGCATCCTCATTTAAATTTGTGTTAATTTTGTAAACCAGGATTTTCTAAAGCGACAGTCTAAACCAAGTATACGACGATGTCGGTCTCTTGAAATGCGGAAACACCTGATAGATCTGTCCAACACTCCTGTCAATGCTTATAAAAAAAATGTGACCAAACGACCACCCGAGTCTTTAAATCAGGTGTGTGAACAACTTTTAACAACCATTTGTGCTCAACTCATTCAACAAAACATTCCTGACATACATTTGGAACACTAGTTTATTATATTAACACAAGTTTTGTCACATGTTTACTAGTAATACACTGGCTGAGTCTAATATGATGGTTATGATATGAAAACTTTGTTTACTCTTTTCATTTATCCTTAGGAAATTGTGTTGCCAGTCAGTAAATAATGTAACATGTAACACTTTTATATATCTACATACATTTCTTAGGCAACCCAGAACTAATTTTTAATTTAACAAATACTTCTTTACCATTGTTATTTTTATATAACATGGATTCTAAATTTGTGATAAAAATAAACACATGACTTGTAAATTAATAACATAAATATTCAATTAATTGCTGTAACTATTCCCATCTTAATTAATTGAAAATCTTCAAAATATCACATCTCAATTTTTATTTTCGCTTCTCTTTTTTTTTTATTGCACAGGAAAAATCTGTAAAACGATGTAAAGACTTTACCACTATAGTTCCAAAGATGGGCGCCATAGGTACCAAGCCAATTTTATCTAGCCTGTCTATTTCTGGTGCTTTTGTTCAGGATGAGAACACAATCCACGAACGTATAAAAACAGCAGTAGATGCCCTTGAGTCACCAGATCTGATTGCAGATGGCACAAGGGTAATAAAAGTTTTTTGATAGCTAGCATACATTTAATGATGAACAATTAATTTTTCAAGCATCTCTGGTTTTGTCCATTCTCTAATTTTGTGTGTGTGTTCTGCAGGAGTATTGCTTACCTGTGATCACAGGCAAACACAGTGACCTGAAAAACATTGATCACCAAACAGTAAGTTTACAGTTTGAATTTCAACTTTAGCTGGATGTAATATACTGCATGAAAATCATTTTACTTAATTATCATCATGAATTGTAGTTATTACTTTTATTTTATCATGATAAACAAAGATTTCAAGTTAAAAATTTGAGATAGTAACATAAAAATATGTGCATATTTTCAGATGGCTGATCTGTTGAATAGAAAATTTGAGGGCTCCTTTGATAAACTGACCATAATTGACTGCAGATACCCTTATGAATACAGTGGAGGCCATATTAAGGTCAGTTTTGATTTTTAAGATTAATAATTTTATCTTTTAAAAATAATTATACAATATTTTGTAATACAGTGTATGCATTATTTGGATTAATTTTAAGAATATTATGTTTAGTCATGGTCATTTGTCCCATTAGAAAGTTCGATTGTATCCAATCGTTTATTTCAAATTTGTAACCATCATTGTGGTATAGTGAGTGGGAGTAAACTTTGTGGTTCTTAGGGAGATGGAGTAATAGCTCTTCATTGTGGCAAGTGTTGTCTCGCCACCCCCTCAACCATTTTTCACTGACTGGTTGGACTTAGGGACATTACTTTTAACATCACATGTCCACCATTTGATAAATTGAATCCTTGGATTTATGAAAGCACAATAGAACAATATCCCTTTTCGAAACTGATGTTCCTTGGAGCAAGTGAAGTAAAGTTGGGCGCCGTGAGTTAGTTACTCATCAGAACTGGGTGGTGACAGGGATGATCTACTGGCTTGAATTCAAACGCGAGACTTTTGAATTAACGGTCTGGCTCCCTACCACTAGGCCACGCTGTCCTGTTATAAGGAGACCTTGTGAAAACTCTACAATGTTTTATAATGTCCCCTGACAATTTTTGCAAATATCAGTTGTCGTAGCCAACCATTAGCAAGTTGTTGTAATCCAGGATGCAGTGAACATCTTCACAGAGGAAGAAATGGTTGAGTTTTTGAATCTAGAGATGAAGGAGGTAACAATGACATCCCACAGACATATCCTTGTGTTCCATTGTGAGTTTTCTAGTCAACGGGGGCCAAGCTTGTGAGTAATATTATTCATAAACATAGTTGAATTGTATTTTTGGATCCTCTCTTTAATATCTGAAAATTACTGGTTTTTGTTTTTGTTAGTTTTTACTAACAGTTTGAACTTTTGTATTCAGGCTGCGACATTTGCGCAAGTGTGACAGGCAAATGAATGTCCTTCACTACCCTCAGCTGACTTTTCCTGAGGTTTACTGTCTGTATGGTGGCTACAAAGATTTTTTCCTCAATCACCCTGTAAGTGTTAAGCCAAGATTTACGTTGGTGATACTTAGGGATGCAATGTGGCTGGAAGACATGGTTGGTTGGGGGAGACAGGTCACATATGAATCTTTTCCTGGTTGTTTTTTGTTATGTGGTAATCCATTCTTTGATACACATCATCAGTGTTGTTTCTTCCAGACTTTTTCCTTGGGGGGGGGGTAGACTTTCCTCGGTGGGGGGGGGGGGGAAGAGGGCGGACCCCGTTAAAAGTATACATTATCTATATAAATTTCATTTTGTTCGGGGGGGGGGGGGGGGGGTAGACTTAACCCCCCCCCCCCCCCCCTACAAGATGCCTGGAAGAAACTCTGCACATCATCACATGAGTACAACCCCTCCCTCCCCTCCCCCATGGTTGAGGTGAGAGACATGTTTATCTGTGGGAAACACATTTGATATGGGGACACAGTTGGGAGTTGGAGACACACAAACACTTCCTCAATGATAAAACCTCTGTTGTGATTTCACCATGGTAGAGGCACATATATGTGGTGCACAAAAACTGCTTGGGTTTCTTTTTAATTAGACAGGTTTGACAAATTTTAAGAAATAATTCTGATGCATCATTAGTTAATATGACATAGCCTCAATAGTTTTTAATATTATGTATCACATTAATAAAGTTATTATGAATTTAATGAGATCTTAAAATTTGATTGACAGTGTGACAGCTGTGCTTCCTAATGATAATTAGTCAATGTTGCATCAAGATATGTTACCAATATTCTTATCTACTTTATCACTGTTCACGTTAGTTGATCTTTAATGTAGTTTTATTTCTTTCAGGAGCTCTGTGAGCCCTCTGCCTATATTCCCATGATTGATGAGAAATATGCTGAAGATCTGCGCCATTTTCGTGCTAAAGCAAAATCTTGGGCGGCTGGTGAGAAGAAGATTGCAGACATGGCATCCTAAAGTAACTCCATTCACAGAAGATCACAGACATAGCATCCTAAAATAACTCCATTTACAGAAGATAACAGACATAGCACCCTAAAGTAACTCCATTCACAGAAGATCACAGTCATAGCATCCTAAAGTAACTCCATTCACAGAAGATCACAGTCATAGCATCCTAAAGTAACTCCATTCACAGAAGATCACAGACATAGCATCCTAAAGTAACTCCATTCACAGAAGATCACAGACATAGCTTCCAATATGTAACTCCATTCACATAAGAGCACAGGCATCCTAAAGTAATTCTATGCACTGAAGATCAGTGACTTAATGGATATTATTAGAACCAGTATTGTAGTAGCCTTCTATACAATGTATTAGACTAATTGTGCCTGATGCTTGACCATTTAAATCATAAGTTTACTGATCCCAAAACAAATTCATGTGAAAAGTTACAACACTATGTCTTTATGTTGGTTCACAATGTTTAAAGTGTAGTGGAAATATTTTCTAAAATACAGCTAAGATTTATTTTTTAAACTGTACATTTAATCTGGTTTTCAAGATATTTCCTTTTTTATTCTAGACACAAAATATTTAGTGATTCTTTTATATTATGAGATTTTTATAATTTTGGTGAATTTGTGGTTATTTCTATCCATCCAATTTTTTATTCTTATTTTTCTATATATTGGAAGCACATTTGGACACTACATGCCAATATGGACCTAAATCTGTGTCTATTGGACTAAATTTAAAAGAGTTTAAATATTCTGATGGGTATAAAGTTTGATTGGATTGACACATTTTCCTGGGTTTGTATTAGTATTAAGATTTGAACCATCAAAAAATTTGCCATTATATTGTGCCTTCCTAGAAAGTTTAGATTTTTTATGTTGTGTGTTAAACTTAAATGTAGCCATCTTTAAAAGTTGAACAGTTGTCTTTGTAGACGTGTGAAATTGCTATTTTTTGAGTTATAAAATCAAAATGTAAATATATAAATACAAGCAAATATGCTTGATAAAAATTATGAAAGAATTATTTTAATTAATTCCCATCCTTTATGAGGATGGTCTATAAAAGATGACATTACACATTTAGTGTGGTGGTTCTGACTTCCGTGACAATGTCCTATGTTTATGTGAGGGGTTAGTATATGGGAAGCTGAAAACATTTTGTATTTCTTAAAATATTTTTTTTAAATGGGGAAAACAAGTCAATCTTAGAAGTATGGTTATTTTTTGGAGTAGGTGTGGCTTTGGGTTAAGGCGGGGCTGGGTGCAAATCAGCTGACATTGTATGATATTTATGGATGGCTTGATCCATCAAACGAGGATACCACAGATCTGTTCTTTATTTTATAACCCCTTGTTTTTAAATAGACTATTTTAAAATTTGGAATGTTATCAATTATTTTAGTACTTTTTATAAATTATCAATGAATACTAAATAGGTTTTCCCATTAAAAAATAAATATGGAATGTGTATGTAAAAATAATGAACTAAAAGAAATTGATGAAGTTTTAGATGATGACATTGAACGAATCCAGTGAGGAGTTTGCTATATGTTCTAATTATGTAATATCTGTGTCTGATTTTTAAATGTTATATATGTACTTTGGTATATGGTTTTATACAGTTTTTATTGTTCTTTTATGGAGATTTTTAAGATACAATTAATACAATATTTGACTTTTTTTTTTAAATAGCTCACAAATAAATATAGTATAATCCTTTGAATTGAGTGTTTTATTTGTTGTCCCAATGATGATTGACTGGGTAGGCACACATTAAAATCTACTAGTAAAGAAGAAATCTCATCACAACTTAATGAATGGTACTGAGGTCTAAGTCTACAAGCCCAGATGCAGACCAGGTCAGCCTGACAGACGAGTTGGCTTGACCACTACAGTGACATAGGCAGATACAGTGGCCTCGACCAGTACAGTGATATTGACTAATACAGCAAATAATGGGCTTAGTGAAAATCTAGCCATTACTACTGATTTAATTTATTTGTAATAAGACGATTCAGTTTTGATAAAAGAACACTTCAATCATATTAAAAAGGTTTTTCAAATTTTATTTTTAAAAATCAAGACACAGTTCAATTCACAATATGTAATTGATTTCTTTCAGTTTGGAATGTCAAATAAAAAAAAAAATCATTCGTAATTGTAAACATAGACCGATACATTATGAAGATCACCACATCTGATCAAGAGGCTTTACCTAGTTCAGAGTAGTATTTAAACAATATTTACTTTACAAATATAAGCTTTTGTATATTGGTTTTAGAAGTTAATTGAATAGAGAAATTTAAAACAGAACTTTTTAGATTATGGGTCTCTTTTTCATAGCTTTTTTAACATGACTAATGTCATAAAATTAAATCACCTAAATGACATTGTTAATTTTAGTTCTATATTTTTACCTTTGTTTTTGTTCTAAAAAACATGATATTTCTTTTATATATATATAACACATACAAACTTAGCAAAAAAATATACGGTTTCATTTTGCATCTTTGAGTGAAAGCAAAAATGTTGCATACAAAATTTCAAGGACATCGAATAAAAAAAAAGTTTGATATTTCCTATTCTATAGTGAGACTTGGGCAACTAAGCACAAATTAGTATTTAAAAAATCCACTTCAAACAAATTACTATCTAAGATCGGGTGGTTTAACGATAAAATTGAAACATTATTTAAGTGCTACAGGTTAACTATTGAGTAAAAAAAAATAAGACACAAACAAATAGATACATTTTTAAAATCGTGATTAGTTCATTTTGTTAAAGATAATATTGTTGAAACAAAGCCATAAGGATTAAGTAACAATGTAAAAAAATTGTTTTCAAAAATTGTAATACCAGTACTACAATCAAATGTATTTACATCGCATTTTCTAATTACAGTAATAATTTAAACAGTATAAAAATATATGAGGATGAGCAAGTTGAGCTATCGGAATGATTCATTTTGCTGAAACATGTTGGCGGTGAAAAAAAATGTTGGTCATGAAAACACTACGGTAAAAAATATTTGGGTATTTTATTATTTTATATTAACCATCCTAAACTGGTCTTAGAATTGATGAGGGCACTCAAGCGAGAATTACAGCTAATATTTTATAGTCAACCTCAGCGATGACTGAACAATCTGAAACTGTTACAGGGCACTACATTTGGCAAGGTAATATGCCAGTCAGCCGTGCTTACAATAAGTATGTCAGAGGGTGGGGGCAGTGTGGTTGGGTGATAGGACACACAATTGCCAGCCTGAACATTCCAAATGCAGACCCCAGGGATGGGTCTGTCTCCTGTCCGCCCAGCTCGGATGGGTACCTGACTTAGTTAAAGTAAAAGCAGCTGGGCATAGATTTGACCACACTATCAGTCTCTATGGGGAGGTCACAGAAACGGATGAACTCTACTTCATCTACCCCGTTCAGATGGGGTAACTTATGTGACAGCCGACCGGTATAAATAAATGAGAATATTCTGTTCCATCCTTTCTCAACCTGCACTTTCTAAGGCACTGTCAGAAATTAGTTCCCTAAACCTATTATTTCTGCACGTCAGTGCTTTTGTATTGCTGCAGCTATAGTGATTATTTAAAATAAGTAAAAACTGAGCAGAAACAGGATTTTTTTTTACATGTTTGGTGCTTAAAGTCGTAACCTGCTGTAATAGAAGGTGGGTGATATAATCTAGTTCACTTCCCAGCACTTCTCAATTTTAAACCTCAAACTATGCAAGTCAAACTCTAACTGTATAGGGTTCAGGTGAAATAAACAATTCTTACCAGTTTCAGAACAATCTTGAGGAAAATTTTTATAAATGCTATTGTAAAAGTAAAGTTTCCCTTTCAAACCTGACGGTCTATGGGGCAAGTGAAGTAGAGTTCACTTGTTTCTGTGACCTTGGCATATTAAGAGATAGTGTGGTCAGCACTATGCCCAGCCGCCTTTACTTTCCCTAACGTGAGATAGGTACCCATCAGAGTTGGGTGGACTCAGGGACGGTCTACTGACTTGAACCTGGATTCGAACTCAAGACTTAGGGGTTAGCAGTCTAGCTCTCTACCGCTAGACCTTTTTGTCCCAAATGCTATTGTAGAACACACTAATCTGGATTTGTTTTAAAAAATGTAAATTTAGTTCTTAAAAGACAAAACAAAAACAAATATGGTTTCTCATCATTCTCGTAACTCAAAACCATGGGAGATAGAAACAGAGCCTAATGCATAAGAAAAATCAATAGCTTGAAGGCATTTTTTCTATGTGGTCAAATACAACAGGCATGAGATTATCGAATTACACTTAATTATCACAGCATCTTAAATACAATCATTAGAACTGGTTAAAATTTGTAAAATAACACATCGAATGTAAAATTTTTAAAAATCATATCTGGAATTACTTTTGAAACATTTTCTGAACATAACCTTTCAAGTGAGGTGCATGTGTAATTCAAAACACTTTATATTCAAGTAACAGCATTACACATATATTTAGGTCAAATTAATAATACACATTCAGGTCACAACTTTACACATTTAAATCACTACACTATACATCCAGGCCACAGCAAAATCAATTCACAACATGACATGTTTTTTAATCACAGCACTCTGCATTCTAGTCACAATACTACACAATTGTGTCACAGCACTCCACATTCAACTCATAAGTTTTCCCAATCAAGTCACTATAAGACATTCATGTGACAGCGCTGCACATTTGACCTTTATAATATCTTTCATTTTCACAACAAAAATATTTTTTTTATTTCATATACTGTGCATTCTTTTTTTCTATCAAAGCTAGAATTTCAAATTTTCTACCAATGAATGAATGAATGAAACTATTTCTTAAAAAATGTCGACTAGCTTTTACAAATAAACACTGATGACTTAAATTATAGTACATTACAAATGCAACATTGCGGCTTTTAAATAAAACTTAAAAAGTAACGTAACATCAACGATAGATCAGTAGAGAATCATTCCGCTGTCCACCTCCTTCTCCCCCGACCTGGAATAACTGCAGGAACACTTCTGGCCAGAACAGAGCAGCACAAACAGATTGAGAAGAAAGGCTCCCGCCGCCCCCACCACAAAGTAAAAAGACATGTCCAGGTACGTAAGGTCTTTGGATGTGAATGTGGCCAGCTCCTGCACGGTCAGCAGGTTGACCTTCAGCTGGGTGAAATACAAACCCAGGTACACACCTATAGCGGCGGCTGAAAACAGCACTGAAATAAAAAAAATGATGTATCCATTAGAAAGAAGTAGCTAATATCATTCAAGGAACTAGAAGTTAGAATGAAGTTTCTTCTTCTTTGTTCTTAATTTTAGTGTTGGAAGGGATCCCCTCCAACACAATTAAGTATACGTGTCAACTGGTTATGCTCCATTGAGTCTGATTTAAGCCTTCTTTTATTTTTGGATTTGCTTCCATAGCCTTTGTCCAACCAAGAACAAACTACATGGCAGCAGTTGTTTGATTTTGGAGTTGTCTCTCCTAGAAGAGCGGCTGTCCCCAGCTAACGAGCTTCATCTGCCCAAGAAGTTTAATAACTTTATTATATAAAAAATTGTTTACAATTTCTTTAATATTTTACATTTATGATAAGAAGCCTGTAGTTAAAAATATCTTGAGATGAATAAAGTAACCAACATTATAGGCCTAGTTTTAGTAGTTGTACTTTTATACAACACAAAATAGTTGATACACAATGGGCTACACAGTAAAATCGGTGTGAACAGTACATAAAAACATTAAGTTTAATAGTAAGAAAACAACACCTTTTGCTTAAGTGAAAGAAGCCTAACTTTGTAAGTATCTTTTTTTGCAATCTAAAGATGCAGATATGTTACTTTTTAAAATTTGTTATTACATAAACAAGAACTCTACTTCATTTTTTAAAATTTGGCATATGGAATAACAAATCTGAAATCACTTTCAAATCCATAAATTTCAAACAAAGCAACAAATCTGATATCGCTTACAAATCTGTAAATTTCAAACAAAGCAACAAATCTGATATTGCATACAAATCCATAAATTTCAAACAAAGCAACAAATCTGATATTGCATACAATTCCGTAAATTTCAAACAAAGCAACAAATCTGGATCCACTTACATGCTTGAAAGTTCCAGACATAAAGTCCAGCTGGTCCAGTAATAGTCTCAATGGGACGCCCAAATACATTGAAAACACCAAATCCAATGGCCACCAGTCCCCAGACTATGGCCAGGACAAGCATAGTCAGGGTGGCCACATATAAAGGAAAACTAAACAGGCCAAACCATTCCATAGACTTGGCATTTGCTGAAACAAAAAGATTATATTTTTATGTGTGGTTTCTGTAATGAATTATTTAATCAAAGTTAAATATCAGAGTTGTGGAACATATAAGAAGGTAGTATTAATTTAAACAAGTTAAAGACCTAAGTATCCCATAATTCATTATTATTTACATTAAGTCAAAGTGTTTGAAGGTTAAAACTACAATTTTAAATTTTGATTGTTTTTTATTATCTCTCAGTATTAAAACAAACTGTAAAAATATTTGTGTACATTTAAGTAGGCTATGCTAAAATACATGTTATGTGTTGGTATGGACATGTGGAAGAGTGCATGAGTGCTAAAATGAAAGTTCATATCCCAGTCTCATTCACATGGGATGTCGCTGAGTTCACCCAGCTCTGATGAGTACCTGAACTACATCAAAGAAGGTAAAAAAACCGGGCATAGAACTGACCACACAACTGATTGACATGTCAAGGTCACAGAAACAGGTAAACTCTTTTACTGACCATCAGATCTAAAGGCTATACAATACAAGTTATTTAAATATGATATGGTTGGTCCTAGCCTACATGTTGTAGAGGCTATGCTGGGTATTCTCAATGACACAAAAACAAAATTTTACTCTATTCAAATATTAATAAGCTGAGAGAAACTAGTAGTTGTATATCATCTATCTCTCAGGGCAATGAATAATTAAGTAAGAGATAAACATATTCATTGTCCACTGAAAAAAATTGAAGCATCGCATTACTCATAAAAATCAATGTATCAAAATACAAGTAGATGATATGGTTGGTTCTAGCCTACATGTTGTAGAGGCTATGCTGGGTATTCTCAATGACACAAAAACAAAATTTTACTCTATTCAAATATTAATAAGCTGAGAGAAACTAGTAGTTGTATATCATCTATCTCTCAGGGCAATGAATAATTAAGTAAGAGATAAACATATTCATTGTCCACTGCAAAAATTGAAGCATCGCATTACTCATAAAAATCAATGTATCAAAATACAAGTAGAAGAATAAATTTAAAAACCGCAATGGATCAACTGATGCTTCATTCTTCTGATTAGAACAATGGTTTTGTTGAGATTTCTATTCAAAAAATAAGATGTGTTAAAACTAGATCTAATATCAAATAAAACTGAAAGCTGAACAATAAAAAAATGTTAGTTGTAAATTGAACAAGCATAGCAGAAAATAAATGAAGAAGCAATGATCTGGGAATGTTAATGTTTCAAAAAACTAAATTGAAGGTCTGATGTGACACACTGTGTAGTCCTTTCCCCAGATAACATTATTGTTACATTGATAGAGCCAATCGCTGGCTACTGCTTGCCAAGGAAGCAATATGCTAGGGCACAGTACTTTTGTTTAACATAATGTGCAGAGTTTCTTTCAAGCATCACTCAAGGAGAGTGAGGGAGGGGATGCCTAAATAGGAAAAAAATAAATAAGTTATACAGAAAATATATAGCCTACTTTAACCAATGTCTGGCTCACCCCTGGAGAAATATATTTGAAAGAAACCCTGATCAAATAACAGCACAAACTGCTGAATATCGTTAGTGCTAACATGATGCTGTTGTTCATCATAAATTGCTAGTCTTTTAGGTACGGCTAGTATTCTTGTAATGTCTTAGAAAATGCTAGCATGATGCTTTTATCATAAAATGCCAGAGACAATTCTCATGTGTAATAAGGCGCTAGCACAATGCTAATTTTCATCCTCAGCACCTTTCTGCGGTGTCATAAAATGCTAGCACAATGCTGTTGTGTCATAAAATGCTAGCACAATTCTGTTGTCTGTCATAATATGCTAGCCCAATTCTGCTGTCTGTCATAAAATGCTAGCACAATGCTGTTGTGTCATAAAATGCTAGCGCAATGCTGTTGTGTCATAAAATGCTAGCACAATTCTGCTGTCTGTCATAAAATGCTAGCACAATTCTGTTGTCTGTCATAATATGCTAGCACTATTCTGTTGTCTGTCAATATATTGCTAGCGCAATTCTGTTGTCTGTCATAATATGCTAGCACAATTCTGTTGTCTGTCATAAAATGCTAGCACAATTCTGCTGTCTATCATAAAATGCTAGCACAATGTTGTTGTGTCATAAAATGCTAGCACAATTCTGATGTCTGTCATAAAATGCAAGCACAATGCTGCTGTCTGTCATAAATTCTGTTGTCTGTCAAAATTTTGCTAGCACAATGGTGCTGTCTGTCATAAAATTGCAAGCACAATTCTGTGATTTCATAAAATGCTAGTACAATGCTGTAGTCTGTCATAAATAAAATGCTAGCACAATTCTGTTGTCTGTCATAAAATGCAAGCACAATGCTGCTGTCTGTCATAAATTCTGTTGTCTGTCAATATTTTGCTAGCACAATGGTGCTGTCTGTCATAAAATTGCAAGAACAATTCTGTTATCTGTCATAAAATGCTAGCACAATTCTGTTGTCTGTCAATATATTGCTAGCACAATGCTGTTGTCTGTCATAAAATGCTAGCACAATTCTGCTGTCTGTCATAGCGCGCTTATCTCAACACAATATGCCAGGACAATGCAGTTGCCTGTCTTCATTAAACGCCGTAACATATTACAGCTACTGTTCTCCCCGCAATATCAGCTGCCACAATTTCAGCCCGTCATTGTTATGTAGCCAAGAAAAAAAAAAACAATGTCTGAAACGTCAAGATAACAGCCACTTGAAACAACACGAACTGCAAATACTAGACAGAGGTACAGTAGCTCCAGGAAGATACTATCTGCACAGATACGGCAATCTACAAACGTAATTTTTTTTACTGCTGTTTTAATAAGGTCACGGCAATCTAAAGTATCAGAGAGGGGGGGGGGGGGGGAAGAAAGAGAGAGAATCAATTGTGCTTTGCGGTTGAGAAAAGGGGAGAGAAAGGTAAAAGGGGAAGGGAGGTTACTCTAACAGATTTAAAGAAAAAAACCTAATTTAATTAAATTTGCGTTAATTTAAATATACAATCAAAAATAATAATTGAGAAAGTTAATAAACGAACACATACGCACACTAATTACTACATCGTAGCATACATGTGAAATAAAGTAAGGTACTAGCCTTAAAACAAACTAATATGATGGTGGGGGTATCCATAAATGATTTCACATTTTTTTTTAAAAAGTAGGCTATATTTTTTTTTTCTATTTGAATTATATATTTTTCTATTTCGAGGGGGGGGGGGGGGGGGAAGCAGCGCACATTCGGAAAGATGCCTGAAAGAAACACTGACTCTAACCTTTATACCCTAACAGCAATAGCAACAACTTCACCTCTACCCCCAACAACTAAGATGTATGGCGCTAACATACTAACAACGTCAGTACGGGGAGGTAACTACGGACCATCAGAACTTCTAACGACATAATTGCTAACACAATCTACATAAGTAGGACTCAATTAGCAGCACGCTGAACTTTATCACTTTTTAAATAGTTAATAGCCACCATGGCCATTATTGAAGAGTATACCGCGGTCATTGGCCTTTAGTTTCCAGAGTAAACAAGCTATAAATAGCAGATGTCGAGTACATTTTAATGATTTTCATTTAAAAAAAAAATATCCTCGGAAGTTCGATAACTTCCCCCGTATCAATAGTTCTGCTCGATTTGTTTACCAAGTGATTATAATAACATTTATAACCTCTCAACTTTGACCCGGGCTGAGGCGTTCTTGTTTACTCGAGCTGTCTGTGATGTTAATGCCAGGATTTTTCTCGCAGATGCCGCGCCATCTGTTTGTGATGACGTCAACAACAATATCACATTGATACGCGCTAGTATTTTTTTTTTATTGCGTCTTTCACTACACAATCCGCAAAAAAACGCAAACGATATTTTTTTTTAAATTGTAGATAAAATTTTGTAAGATTAAGCAACTTTGTTTAAATGAAGTCATATTTCTAGGATGGGTACTGAGCTTTGAGAACAAAAAAAAGTCATACAGAATTTTAGCAATTATTTTGAATTTTTAAAACACTTTTAAAAAATGTGATGAAAATTGATTATGAATCAAATCTTGCTCCGGATTTGTTTAAGATTTTCATTACCGATTAGTTTTATGCAAAAAAAAAAACTTGTTTAAAACTGTGGGAGGTGTGGGTGAGCACGTGTGTTTGGGGGTGAGGGGTTTAAAGTCAGTTTAAAAAAAACATGGCATCAAGTAAAGATGACACGATACGATCTCAGTAAATGATGACGTATGGGCTATAAGTCAGCCTAGTTCTAGAAACAGTTTTGTTTGGAACACTTGACATTAAAGTACAGGCTACATCTAACATAAGTTGACCAAATCCACCAAATAATATCCAACTCGTCACAACACGCATGCCTGATGCCCTGATACAAAAACAAAAAAAAACCTGACGCGAGCATTAATCAAACGATCGATAGTTCGATCATGAAAATTTCACCATCTGGAGTTGGGACAAGGAAATCTACTTTGAGCAAATCAATCGACCTGGGCTAAAATCAATGGGAGTCGACGGTCGACTGATAGACTAGCACTCACTCCCACATGCTAGCAACAATGGAGGATTGACATGGGAGGGGGGGACGGCTTCAGGTGATGGGGCTTTCCGTCTCTTAATCACGGCACTTCACAGCAACAATAAAACCCAAGCTTTTCTGAATAACAGCACTTTAATAGAACAATAAGACAAACCCCGCCCTTTGCTGAATTACAGCACTTGAATTGAACAATAAAACCCAACCTTTGCTGAATTACAGCACTTGAATGGAACAAGAAAGCATTAAAATAAGTTAAGTTTATTAAATAAACAAATGAATATCTTAATCACAGCACTTTATTGCAACAAAAAATCCAACCCTTTTCTCAATTACAACAATAGAAAAAAAACGTTCTCTTTAATTACAGCACAAACCCCACCCTTTTCTGAATTACAGCACTTCCTTGGAACAAGAAAGCATTGTAATAATTAACGTAATCAAATAAACACACCAGTATCTTAATTACAAC